CATCCGGAAGAGCCTTGGAATACAGCCTTTGCTTCTCCAGATTGAGAAGTCACAGCTGCGATGGTTTGGGAATGTGTTGTGAATGCCTCCGGAAAGTAAGGCTAAGCAATTGTTCTTGAGTAAGCCGACCGGCAGATAGCCTGGGGACGATTAAGATTGACCTGGTGCAAATATGTGGAAGGAGTTTGCTCGAGACTCAAGTTGTCTTCTGCCGAAGCTTAGACTCTGGCACAAGATCGGGGTCGTTGGAAGCTCTGTCTGACGCGTCTGCCTCCGCGACCCGAAAGGAGAAGCGGCGATGGAAGATGAAGATGAAGAAGTTGACTTGAATTTCGAACATCAAGAGCTGCATGAGTTCTAATGTGTTCATTTGAGAATGGGCAAGGGATTGGCTATGCTTTATAATAGGAGTGGTTGATTGGGCTACAATTCGCCTTGAACCGTCTAGTGGCTGCTTATTCAGTCTGATTATCAGGAAAATATTGTTGTTGTTATATACGAAATGCGAGCAACAGTTTTTGACAATCAATGTGACAGATTGTATTGCGAACACTATGTAGCCAGACGAACAGACTTACTTCACGCCTCGAGTGGAGGCTCATATGATCGCGAAAAAAAGAGCTTTCCTAGAACGGGTACAACATTTGCCAGAAGAAATGCCTGCTGATATGGCGCTGAAGATCTTGAAAAACATAGGGGAGTTATGCCTTCATTCGCGTACTAAAGACCCGGCGTCTTTCTGTGAAAGACTACGTTGCGGTTGCTGCTCATACATTTGCTCTGCAATGATGTACCGTTTGCGTGCTTGGTGTCACCATGGACTTGTTTTCTGCGTGTTTTACTGTCTTTTGCTCTTCAGTAATTTGCGAAAGGCACAGATTGAATCATTCAGGAGGTTTAGCGTGATATACAACTTTTGCTCCTTCAAAATCAGATTTCACGGCATATTACGCCGCTACCTTGCTCTTAGTTGCTTAGGAGGCATTTAAACAGGTAATTTACAGCTCCATGAAATTTGACCACCTGCAGT